TTTTTATTTAAAACTTAAATTAAAATTCTGACCAGAAGTTCAATAGTACATATCTTAAGCAATATTATTACCAGTTTGTTTTTTTAAAATTCGATTTATTAAAGGCTCTAATAGTCCTTAAATATTATGTAGTGTTAAGATTTCCCGCACCATAAAAATCAGAGATCATGTTATCTATGGTATTTGTTATCTTGATTTACAAATTACCATTGCAGCGTTTTTTGTAACACCATTAAAGATTTGTGAGATGACAAATACTTCACATATACTATAACAATTTACTCCTTAACGTCTTTAACTTATTCGTACTTTTCCTTTTTTCCTTTAGTTTATCTTCTATCCTTATTTATTTATTGTTAGTTGTGAATTCCTTGTTCCTTTTGGTTATTCTTCTTCGTGAATCCAAGAGATAAAGAGTGAATCAAGGAAAAAAAAAATGGCAGCGCTATGGAAATCTTTTCTTGATTGGCTTCGAAGTTTATTTTTTAAGGTAAATATAATATATAGACGCCATGCATTAGTTTGCTTTTTATGTTAATGTAAGACTTAATCGATTTTTTTGGAATTTGATTCATAACTCATTTTAAGACTGAGCTCGAGCTCACGTTAGTTGGTTTGCAAAACAGCGGAAAGACAACATTGGTCAACGTTATTGCTGTAAGTGTTAATTTCCCATTAACCCAATGGTTTATTTTTTCTTGCATGATTGACGAATCACTATTTAGTCATTTTAAAGTCTATCGATTAAATGTTCTGATTAAGAAATTCATTCATTTTTATAGTCTGGCCAATTTAATGAAGACATGATTCCAACGGTTGGATTTAATATGAGAAAAGTCACAAAGGGAAATGTAACAATGAAGTTGTGGGATATAGGAGGACAACCTCGTTTCCGGAGTATGTGGGAACGATATTGCCGCGGTGTCAACGCTATTGTGTGGGTTAATTAATCAGTTAACAATGGTGTATCGTTTTATCCAATCGTCAAAAGTTTGTTGATTGATCATATTTCTTTGATTATAAAGATTTGTTATCGATTCAGCGGATCACGATAAATTGGAAGCTGCACGAACGGAACTCAAAAGTCTTTTGGAGAAGCCACAGCTGGCAAATATTCCGGTATTAGTGCTTGGAAACAAAAATGATTTACCTGATGCATTAAATGTCGAACAAATTATTGAAGTCATGTATGTCAATTTATTATTAGTTAGTTGTTTTTTTATTTAGCATATCATAACCTTTTCTTTTGTTGTTATAGGAATTTGAAGTCGATTAATAACCGGGAAGTATCTTGCTATTCAATCTCGGCAAAAAATCAAGTTAATATTGATATTACCCTACAGTGGTTAATTAAGAAGGGTAAAGGAACAAAATGAGCGATCTTTTATATATTTATAAACTTTGCTGTGTGAGGGTTTTTTAGAGTTTTAACGTGTTTATGTATTTATATGTGAGTATTAAAAATCACTGATCAGTGGTTTTTTTGATTATACAGAAATGTCTGAATGATTTTTTTTGTATTATTTATATTAATTATATATCATTATTTATCATATATGTGTGAATATTCTTCTCTTCGTTCATCTGTCAGAAAATTCTTTTATTTTTTTTGATGGAGGACTTAAAAATCGAGCATCAGATAAGACAATTGATTTCTATTATTGTTAGCTTTAATCAATTCATTCAAATAACACTATTAATATATGTATTCCTATTATGAATTTCATATTTTTTGTATTTGTTTTGATATATGGATCGAATTGTGAAAGAGTATTGATTCAAAAGAAATTATTTATTTACTAATATTAACTTCTAAGAGTATTATATTCTAGATTCTCGTGATCGTCGAATTATTATTATTAATATCGGATGCATGAAAAACCAGTCCGTGAGGTTGCTTCAAAACGTGAAAGTGCTATTCACAGAATAAGAGCTTTCAGATCATTTCGAAATTCTTAACCCTAATAGTATGAGGTCCTATAAAGAAGCACAAATAAATATGGAATAGAAATAGCTTGCATATTTACTACGCTCTACCCAAATGCTTGAACCACGAAGCTGTTACCTGCCGTTAACCCATTTCCTTGTTTGTATTTTTCTCCGCCGGATTATTTACTTTCATGTGACGAAATTCATGTGATGTAGATCACAAAATCAAATCTAAAGGCAAAAATACCTTTTCTCGGAACGAGCAAAGAATTTATAAGAATCTTAAGAAGATACAATCAAAACAGGAAAAGAAGGCACACAACAGAGTTTATTTGAACACAAAACAATAAAACAACCAAATTAAAATATAAATAATAATAACATCAAAGAGATAGTAAAAATAAATCTCAATAAGTAACAAAAATATTAAAAAATTTTCATTGAAAATTGAGTTTTTCAAGATAAATTATATAATCTCACCATCAAAAGACAATTTCAAGTTTTAACTTTGCATTAATTATAGAAAATTAATAATTTAAATTAGTGTTCTCTTTCTTGAATTGTTAATTATATAATAAATTTAAAAAGATCAAATATTTTATTATAATTAATCTGATAATAAAATATTAATAAGTAAAGTTAAGGATCAATATAAGATTATTTTTATTATAAATTAAATTATTTTTGTTTTCTAGTTAAAAAAAAGAGAGTTCATGAATATCAAATATTATTATAAATAATATATTATATAAGATAATATTTTAGTTAATATATTAGTTTTTGATTTTTTTTAATATTCTTATTATTTTTTAAGACTTATAAATATAGTATTAAAAGATTATTAACCAATTCATCTCTTCTTGTTTGAATAATATTAATATAAATAAATTTTTTATTAAAATCAAGCTGAAAATATTATTTATATATAAAAAAATTTTGTAAAAAGCTAATTTTAATTATATTTTTCTTTATTATATAATGAAAATTTTATTAATTTTTATAAAAAATATTATTAAAATTTTTTATTAAATATATTATTTTTTTTATTTTTAAATACTAAAATATATAATATTTTTTATTATTTAAATAATAATTATTTTTTTATAAATTTTTAAATTATTATATAATCTAATATAATTCTTAAATTTTAATATTTTAATATTTTTTTATTAATAAAATATAATAAAAATTAAAATTTTTTTTATATATTAAAATTTATAATTTTATTAATTTTATTTTATATAAAATAAAATTCATAAGTATTATTTTAATATATTTTTTTAAAATTTTTTTGAAAAATTATTCTAATTATAAAGTTATTATAAATTTTTTTTAATTAAAAATAAAATTTAATAAAAGAATTTTATAATAACTTTATAATTAAAAAGATTCTTTTAAGAAAAATTTTAAAAAATTAAAAAAATATATATTAAATTATAATATACTATATAAAGATGATGCAACAAGTATATAATACTTATTTATCACCTGTTGTAACATGTTGCAACTCCAAAATTTTATAAGTTACAACTAGTTGCAACTAGGTGAAGCTTTATTTGTCATCAAATTGCAATAGTTAAGGAATCATCTTTAATACTATAACAAAATTAGAATAATTATATTAGATTTATATTTTATCTTACAGATTATTGCTATGTTATATACTGTATTACATGTGACTTACTATATTATAATTATCTGATTATATCAAGAAAAGTCACACAGTATATTTAAGTTATTTTAGTCATAGATAATTTTCTTAGTAGAATTTCTCTTTTTTCTTGTTCTACTAATTTAATTAACGTATTACTAAATTTATATATTTTATTTATAATTATTTATTTCTTTATTTATTCATTAATAAGTATCTTCTAAAGATACTATCATATAAGTATTATCTATTATTAATTTATTTATTTTTATTATTAATTCTAAATTATTATTTAAAAATGCTGTTTCTATTTTATATTTTTAATAATAATAATAATAATAATATAATAAAGAATAAGTTTTAAAATATAATAATCTTGTTTATCTTGAATTAGTTTT